TGGGTGATGCGACAGTCACATGATCTGAGAGTACTTACTAAGCCATTTTGGGTCGCGCCAGTGAATTAACGACCATCCCTCACCTGCACCCACGGACTCGGAAGATAATGGACTTTGTAGATATGAGAACGACCCCTATTTGTGTCTATCTATATCACACCATACTCCTAAAGCCCTCGGAGTACACAGATAATTGTCTACTTTATGAAGTAGTATCCGGGGCAGTGCTTTGCATGTATTATATTATCAGGTCCATCTCGCCCTATAGGGAGTATGTATGTGGTCCCCAAACCCCAAGGCAGGATGGGATCGACGCCCAGCCAGATGGACTGATACACTCAAACATCGATCGCATCCCTTCCTTAACGTCATTTCTGGTATAGACCCCTCCCTACGAAAGAGTAAAAGTTTCCTCCTTGTAGAAACTGAATGTCAGAATGTATACTTTTCTTATCTCACGCATCCACTGGGTGGCTCAAAATCGGTGCGACGTACGTGGCCCGGCCAATAATGGGGGAAATTACGTCGCCCTCACCATACCGGGGCAAATAGGCGGCTAGACTGCCAACGTACGCTGGCGCTTTGTTGACATCTGCCTTTTTCTCTCCCACATTTGATCTTCCATCTCCTTAAATATTTCTGTCCAGACTCAACTTTTTCTAATAAAGAACGGTTGGGGAAGCACGAGCGCCGTGGTCAGGATCGACAACCAGTGCCCCGAATTGCCAACTAACTTTAATCTTTGCCTGATGCGCCGCGGGTCCATCATCTGCATCGTCGTTACCGATCGCCCATAGATTCATTCCCAAGAATATCTGGGAGGCGCATTTCTCACCGGGCCTGTCACAACTAACTGCCTAGATCGAGAGAGGCCCCATCTCTCGGGATTTCTTCCTTACTTACACACTAGCTGTCCGTCATTCGTTTGTCAACTTCATCAGCATTCTGATCCTTACTCTCCGTCCTCCTTTGTTCTCCGACACTGCGCAACAGGCACCCGTATTCAGCCCTGCGCAACCAAGCATTGCTTTTCCCATCTCCTCACCGACGCTTCGGCACAGCGCAGTGCCCTTCACATCATGGCTATAGGGCCATTGCGATATCTTCTGTTTGCCATCACGGTGAGTGTGTCTGGCCCGTCACAGGACCCCTTTCGCATCACTGACTGGCTTCAAGGGGTTGGCCGTCTTCTTTTTCATCTCTAGGAGCGCTATCCCAATCCCCGAGAACATCGGCACCAAGTTGAACCCCGCAACCTACAAAGACACCTTTTCCTCCTCTCACTCCTCGCAAAATGATGCGCTGTCATCAAGTGGACCGATCAAAGACATCCCGACGGATCGCGTGAACGCCACCTTCGTGACCCTCGCTCGCAACACTGATCTTTGGGAGATGGTCAAGTCCATCCGGACGGTGGAAGACCGCTTTAACCACAACTATCACTACGATTGGGTGTTTTTGAACGACAAGCCCTTCGATGACGAGTTCAAGAAGGTCACGTCAGCCTTGATCTCCGGCAATACGTTCTATGGCGTGATTCCGAAGGAACATTGGTCATATCCCGAGTGGATCGACCAGGATAAGGCGAAGAAGGTCCGACAGGAAATGGGAGAGAAGAAGATCATCTACGGCGACTCGGAGAGCTACCGTCACATGTGCCGTTATGAATCCGGGTTCTTCTTCCGGCACCCGCTGATGCTGAACTATGAGTACTACTGGCGCGTGGAGCCCAGCATTGAGCTCTTCTGTGATGTCAGCTTTGACCCGTTCCGTTACGTGAAAGAGAACGACAAGAAGTACAGCTTCGTGCTGAGTCTGTACGAGTATTACGACACCATCCCGAGCCTGTGGGGTACGGTGCAAAAGTTTATGGAGGAGCACCCGGAGCACATCGCGGACGGCAACTCCATGAGTTTCTTGAGTGACGATGGCGGCAAGACTTACAACAAGTGTCACTTTGTGAGTATTGCCCCTTGCACCTCTCCGCTAGCTCAACTAACCGGTTTGTAGTGGTCCAACTTTGAGATTGGAAGTCTGGAATGGCTGCGGTCCAAAGAATACATTGACTACTTTGAGACGCTCGACCACGCTGGTGGCTTCTTCTACGAGCGTTGGGGCGATGCTCCCGTGCACTCTATCGCCGCGGGACTTCTCTTGAAGAAGGAGCAGATCCACTTCTTCAACGAAATTGGCTACTACCATGTCCCCTTCACCCACTGCCCGACTGGCGAGCAGCTAAGGCTGGACTTGAAGTGCCACTGCAACCCCAAGGACAACTTTGACTGGAAGGGATACTCTTGTAATTTCCCCTCTTTCCTTCCGTTGGGGCATCATAACTAACGAGCAACGTACAGGCACGTCCCGGTTCTTCCAAACCAACGACATGGACAAGCCCAAGGGCTACGAGAATGAGAGCTAAGGGGCTCATGACTGATTATATCACTCAAAAAGTAAATGCAAATTCTGTCGTTGCGCAGCGCAAGGTTGGCCGTGCATGTGACCAGCAAAGTCGGACATCTCTTCACCAAGCACGGCGGAGTGGCATTGTCCAGGCATAAAACGTCCACTAACGGGACACTTCACAGCTCATTACTGAACCATTTCCAACCATCCTGCTAAATGCTGGGCGCAAATTCACAACATTTGAAAAATATTCTTCATTTCTTGATTTCCGGACGAGGGTGTCATGTGTTTATAAGATTGTCGGGAACCAAGCGCGCATCATATTTCTCTATATTCCGGGTATAGGGGTTGCAAGGTACAGAGATCGTCTGCAGGATGTACTGGATGGAGTCGGGATGAACTGGGAAAGGAAAATAACTGCTCTGTAGCCAGGCAAGCCTCATAAATGTACATAGCCGTGTTCTAATGATAACAACGATATAAAGATCCGTCAAAGCAAGATGTAATGATACAAACAATACCAGATAGTAAGAAATATAATCAAGACCAAATTCTTAAGCACAAGCAACATCCCTCATACCCAACTAATCCTTCTTAGGCTTCTTCGTACCATACTTCGACCGACTGTTCAACCGAGAAGCAACACCACCCTTGAAGAAGTTAGCAGACTGCCCCCAATCCCTAAAAACCCAATCGCAGAGAATGAACCTACCAAATCCATCGCACCACGAACCAAATGGTACTTCACACCAGGACAATCAGGCACACGACCACCACGCACCATAACGACACTGTGCTGCTGGATATTGTGTCCTACACACATAAATAAATTAGCCTCATTCACCCAATTCCATTATTCCCATATACTCTCATTCTCTTCACACCCCCCAATCCCACAAAGACCAAAGCGGAGAGGAAAAGTGAACTCACCTTCACCAGGAATATAAGCCGTAACCACCTTCCCACTACTCAACCTAACTCTCGCCGTCTTCCGCTCACCAGAGTTCGGCTTCTTAGGCTTCGTAATACCCGTCTTCAAACACACTCCCTTCATCTGAGACCGGCCGATCAGCGCCGGAGACCGAGAGCGACGTGCGCGCTGCGCAGTACGGCATCCGCGCCGCACTTGGTTGTAGGTGGCCTGGCGGAACGGGGAGGTGGAGAATTGCCGGAGGATAGAGGAGGAGGAGGTCTTGTTTGCAGCAGCAGCAGCAGCAGCAGCAACTGCAGTGGGCGTGCGGAGGACGGGCTGGAAAGGTCGTCGGGGAGCGGCGGCGGCGAGGGTGGTGATGGAGCAGGAGGTAGTGGATTTGATAGCGGCGGGACGCTGGACAAGAGTCCGGAGCGTGCGCAGGGCGAGGGAGGAGACGAGAGGGGCCATTTTTGTTTATATGTCTCCTGGGCGATGTGCTTTGGCCTGGGGGCTTCCGTATATTGGTTATCGGGATGGGAAACATTTCCTGGACGGGCTGAGAGAGATTGTATCACGTGACGGGTGGAAGATGGCGGAGGTGGTGGGTGTGGTGCGCCGGAGGAGCTTGCTGCGGGAACGCGCCAGTGGACTGGCTGCCTGGCTTGGCTGCGATGTCAGAGCTGCTGGGTGCTGCTGGGTGCTGGTGCTTGCTACGTCGGTACTACCTGACTGCTTAACTATCCATCCGACTTTCAACCTCCCATCTCACGAACAACCACACTCATCTAACCTTTCAATTTACACAACCATCTTTTAATCTCACCCTCGATACAACACATATACCACCTTGCAAATAAAACTCCCATCACAACCGTCACAATGGTCCGTCCATCCCATTTATCTACCCCGATACCCTCACCACCCCAACCCTTATTTTATACCGAGTAAATGATTAACAAAGATCAATAGTCCCTCCGCATCGCCCCCCCCTCCAGCAACCCAACCCAAACAACCAACACGACCACCCGCGCCGTCATCGATCTCCCCCACCCCTCCAAGGGCGCCCCCTCTGCCCCCGGTCTTCCCGACACCCTCCGCGACAACATCACTCTCCAAGCACCCCGGGGCCCTCCCTCCACAGCGACCACCACCCCATCCTCGACGCACCCGCTCGAAGCCCGCCTCCTCGCGTGGCGCGCCACCCAGGATGCACTGAAGATGGAGTCGCTGCGTCGGGCGTACGGTATCGCGGAGCCCGTGCGCCGCGGCATGGAGTTGAAGATCGTGCGGGATGGGTCGTTCAGGCCTGCTGCGTTGGGTGGTCTCGGAATGGGAAATCTTCATGAGGATATCTTGGTCCTTGGTGGTAGGGATGCTGAGGTGGGTTGGGAGGATGTGTTTAAGGGTGAGTTTTTACCTATACCTACTCTTCCTCCTCTTTATATATGTTTGGTTGTGTGTGTGTGTGTGTGTGTGTGTTTTACTAACGAGTGGGGGTTTAGGTGATGAGTTCCGTGAACCGCCTGCTTTCCATGATGAGATGGAGAAGAGATTGCGTATGGATCACTGAGTGGGTGATGGTGATGATGGTAGTCTGGTCTGGACATGACATGGCATGACATGGCTTTACTTAGCTCATTGGTTGGCTGTTGAATGGGTTGTTATGAATCGGATTTTTTAAGTTTGTTTCTTTTCTTTTCTTTTCTTGATACAGGCGCTGTCTGCGGTAAATTATACAGTACAATAAATAGTGGTTTCATCTACGTGAACACTTTTCAGTAAGCTTACGTTGCTTGAAAGGAAAGCACTACAGGTTGAATAGCTACCATATGTGCAATCTTTGTACATTATGTAGATTCCGCTGGCCTCAAACCAAGGAAACGCTATATTTGACATCAACCTGTGGGTCGCACAAGCCCCGTATCTCAAACTAGATTCAATCAGATGGCTGGCCAGATCGGAAGAGGGCCACCAGGGTCTTCCGTGAGCACTGCAAATTCGTCGGTCCAAGCCCTAACGCAACAGAAACACAGCAGAACGGCAAAGGACCATGTAAGCAATTGCAAGAGATAGGCTTCCAATATGTGAACATAAATGCAACAAATTTGAGACCGGCCAACGAGACAACACAGGGGACGGGAGAGCAAGCGAGAACATGAGCTTTAGGGTATATACGAAATAAGCGGAAGCGGAGCAGCATCAAGCAACTCATGGAACTATGCAAGCCAAACGGTGACCACTTGGTGGAACAGACAACGGGGTAAATGTCAATGCAGCGATGCTGGTAAAGCGATGATAACCCATCCATAACGCCGTCTCATTACGGTCAGACAGCCAACCACATGCAATGTCTTGCGGCAAAAAAGGCGAACAAGCGTGAGGGAGGACCAAAGCCTACTCGAACCCAGCAGAGAGAAGCAACAAGGCTCCAATTAGGGGTCTAGAAGAAAGCTCGTATCGACGAATCTTCATGTGGCACAAGCAAGTGAGCTTGGCATTGGTATCTGGGAGGGCAAAACGATAATGGCAGTTCCCGAGGACGCAAGCAAGGGAGGACTGCCTTGAGTATTTAACTTCTGTCGTCTCCTTTCTCGGGCGGAAACAGTCCTATTCATTATTGGATGATGCAGCGACAGCCAGGGCTACGCTCACTAGACTCCCGCTCCCGGGTGTACTGGGGTTTGGACTTGGCGTCTTCTTCGTCAACGATCTCCTGGGGCTTCACAGTCATATGGACCACATTGGGAGCATCCCGGCTGAACTTGGAGTCTAGATGATAGTAGATCAGCACCAGCACCAGCACCAGAGAAGCGGTAGAAGTGATAAATACCTGATAACGGGGCTTTGTCATCTAGCAGCTTGCCGAATGAGATGAGTCGGATGGAGCTGGGCGATGATGGCCGCGGCTCCCAGTCTGCCAGGAATCATAAGTTAGCCACCCGCAAGTTCCGAGACAACCCTGGGCTATTGCACGCATACCTTGGCGCCATTCCCGCCAGATCAATTCCTTCAACGTGTATACACTCATGGCGAAGGGATCGTAATTCTCTACATTGACCGACCGTTTCCGTAGGTATTTCCCATCGATCTTGAAAGGGTGTCGGGAGCCTGTTATCAAGAGCAGGGTGATCACCAAGGATGGGCCCGTGTCCTCCTCCTCTTTGGCAGCCTCATCTGATCCCTGGGACGATGGCTCGGAGCCAGCTGCCGGAGCCTTCGCCTCATCGTGTTGTTCCGGAGATGCGCTTGCAGATGGAGCCGCATCTACAGGGTCCTGCTTGGGAACGGGAGCTGGCGTATTGTCCTCATTATTGTCTGTGGGCTTCGCATCCACCGAACTGGGCTCTTGGCTCTCGGCCTGGGCGTTATCGGGATGAGGGGCGGCACTAGGAAGCTCCTGGGTTTCTGACGATGGCACGGCAATGGTTGTGGACTGCGAAGTCAGGTTGGAGTCGGAGGTGGGCGACATGGGATCAAATTTGGGGTCTTCGGTGACCGACATGGTTTGTTCTGACACACCTCGTGAAGCCGCACGAGTCAGATAGCGCGAGGGGAAGAAAGGAAGGCTAAGCTAGCAGTTCGGAATCGATGAAAACTTTAAAAGAGAGAATAGATCGCAGCGAAAATTCCGTTGGGGATAGTTGAACCGATATGGGAGTTGACTGATGAGGGTAAAAGGGGGGGAGGCGAATCAGGCTGGGGATTGAAGACAGGAGCGGATGAAGCAAGGCGATGCGCGCACGGAGGAGAGAAAGGAGGGCAGGCTGAGAGAGGGTGCTAAATTAGGTAGGCGAGGAGGAGTTTCCAAGGGTGGCCCGAACAAGAGACTAGAACCTTGATCGGGGATGGGTGAAGGGGGCCATGCGACCCGAAGGAGACCAGCGAGAGCGAAAAGGGGACGGCGTGAGTAGTAGTGAGGAGACGAGGGACCACGAAGGCGATCGGGCGGGCCCACGAGTGGAGGAGGAGGAGAAGAAGGAGGAGAGGATTGATTATTACCTTGTGTGTAAGGCTGAAAGGGAGACTAAAAAAAGGTTTGTGGCAATGAAGAAGATGGGGAATGTATAAAGAATGGGAGAGGGGGAGGCAAAGGGGAGGGGGAAAGAGGAAGTAAGTACGGAGTAGGAGAAGGGGACAAAAAGACTGGATTGATTGATTGATTGATTGATGGATGGGATGGACAGGGAAAGGGAGAGGAGAGACAAGACAGACAGACAGACAGACAGAGAGGTCCAAGCCAGTCACTGCTGAGGGGAGCCCCGATCTGGTTGGTTGTTCCCCCGGGCGTCACCTTGGATCGGTGGGCCACCGCCCATAATTAACGGCCCTTTCTACTCTTCCTTCATCCTTCTCCCTCTTCTGTCCCTCTTCCCCTTCCGGTTCATCTCAATCATCGTTCGTCAGTTGAACTTGGCTTTGCATGCAGGTGATTCTTTGGGCGTCAGCATCGGCTTGAATGGACGGAATGAGAATCAATTCCCGCGTGCAGCTGAGGCCTTGGTGGCAGCGGATCCTGGTCGCTTCCGGACATATCTGCGTCATGAGTAGGTCGTGACACCTGTCATGCTGGAAATCGCTCCTGTTGACTCCATAGAAGCTGTGCGATAAAATTCTACACAATGGTTTAGATCTCTACGCTTAGCTTAGGGAGATAAGCAACTCCCAGACAATTCATGTTGTTAACTGGGCTCAAGGCATGCACGCGGAAGATAAAGATGTTCATTCATCAGATGATAGGTTCTATCTAATCAGTACAAAACGAATGCACCACTCCGACCATATGCCCCTTACACACTATACATGGTGCATTAGCGCTCTACACTAGAGTATGCCGCCTTGCTAAGGCTGTCGATTGAGGGGTTGCACCTGCTCAAGTGAACGTGTTTCATACCACCCTGCATACAACCACCTTTCGAAGGAAAACGACGAACTATCCTTAAGAGAGCTCGAGCGCATCGACGAATTGATATCCGTGCGCTACTATGGTGCTCTTGAGATAGACAAGCAATGACAAATTATCGCACATCAGCGATGATCGTTGCTTTACTTTGCGCGAGCACGTGCTGACGTGACCTGACATCTATGCAAGATCTTTAGACCAAGTGTTGGCCACGCCGGGACATTCAGCGGGGTCAGTTCTATCGTAGGAGAACGAAATAGCTAAATTAAAGATGGGCATAGAATTATACCCGAAAGAGACATGCTACGACGACGCAGTCGATTGGTCTGATTGACAAGCGTCTGAGACATACTACAGTCTAGAAGAGATCGCCAACACTCTAGTCACGATACTAGTTCTAGGAGCTCTGCAAAACCCTATCTTATTATTCTAGACCTTTCCATGACTAATCTTGCAGAAATCTAGAAGCAAGAGGTTCAACTGCCTGCTTCGTCAGCTATGATTGAGATATGCGACACTGGAACTAGCTAGTCACTCTTGTCTATAGGACGACACCGACTTCATCAGTACCATGTTAAGGCCAGTTATCTGTGCTCTGTGAGATTGCACCTAATATTCGAGGGGTAGATCGACCAACCTAACAAGGAATATCGCGACTGAGAGGAGTCCATCACACTCGTCAATCTTATACCATATCTAGAGGCAATGAATACTATCGACCTAACAGTTCGGTTATAAATACTACGCTTGAGTAGTATCTGTCATATATTTCCTGGAGCTGTTCTACACTAGAAGCGGTTGACTTTGCCTTCATGAGTGAAACGACCTCGTTGCCTCAGTCCATTAATTATAAAGTGGGTCGCTGATCAATCCAGAGTCATATTCCCAGCTTCGAGAACTATTCTAGATCACAGGTCACCATTTGGTTTGTCATCGAAAATCCCGTCGCGTACGTCTGATAGAAAGGTCCAGATATTATGGACTAGAACTTGTTTGATTCTTTCAAGCCCCCACGGTCTAGGTTTCTACTTGACCACTGCATGATCAACGCGCTGGCACCTTTCCATGGTGACTGTTTTCGCCAGCTGGGTCTTGCTTAGTATACGTTGACTACCAGAGCTGTCTAGATACGGGATAGCGATGATGCTCATAACTCGTTTTGGAATGTATCACGGCTAAATCATGCGGACTGAAATGGAGAATGTGTCCTCGCAGTCGCTCCATATTCCCTGCTTGTCGACAATATACTGTCGCATCTGTCGCACCGTCATAGATACACTGGAGCTTGGATATTCCAGTGCTAACCTTTCCCAGAGTACCGATAGCTCTCATAGCTGTTAACGATCGGTTCTAAGCTACCATTTACTTTGTGTGTATGCGTCAGTGCTCGAAGTCTTCCCACGAGGGAATCTCGTACTTCCTACTACGGGTCTGGTTCAAGAGCTGAATAGGAGCATCTTATAGGGCCATCACGGAAACTTGCATAGATAGCCAGCGCGGATTGAGGACAGATACAACCTCGACCAGAGCCTCTGGTAACTTGTTCTGACACAGCTTTGTGCTCTCGTATATCCTTTGCGATGCCAGCGCAGATCGGCGAATAATACCATACAATGCAGTGTCATGAAGCCTATGCCACGGCGGGACTACCTTCAGGGATTGTCCAATGTTATATGGCTACACTTTCCCAAAACCATGCTACCGTCTTGCAGTGTCTGCAGGCATAAAATCACCTTCTCAATACGAAGGCACCGATAGGAAATGTAGCGAATCAGTGGTTGAACACACATCGAGAATTCCAGGCCAGGGTTAAAAAGACATATTCAATGCCAATTCAGAGAGCAATGGTGATGAACTTCATACCAATCTCACCGACTAAGTTTCGCCTCCTATCCCCCGCATAGGAATTGTCGAGTCGTCCAAGGCCTGGCAGTCAAGCGATGGTGTTTCCCCCATGGCAATAGGAGCCATTGCCGAGGGCCCCTAGAGACGTTAGAGAATCTATAGTGTACCCATAAATCACAGTTTCTTAGATGTAGTATGTGTAGGTGCAAAGAAATCCGAACAATGGACGCAATGTATTGCTTCAGGAAAGGGTTCTGTCCTCTGGGAAGAACTGGGATTCCTTGAATTAGCCTTCTGAGTGGAGAGTTACTTGGCGCGTTTGAAGTGAACTTAACTCTGAGGAATAAGGATCCATTAAATATGAAGTAGATGACTCTCTGAAGGTTGAGTACGCGTACTAGGAATGTGGACAACTACGTTAATACACAGTGATAAGAAAGGGAGAAATGTGTAAGACATTGTATCAGATTTAACTCATTACAAGAGGCGAGCGAGGCAAGAGAGACCAATTCGATTGGAATGACTAATACGTAGTCGCGTCTTTGTGAGAGTATTTAGAGGGAAGGCAGATACAAGCATAGTGCGTTGCTGTTTATCTCATTGTCATCCGCCATCCGCACCTCCCCACCTCGCACTCACTGCCACCCGACTGAATCATGCTAAAATCATCAGAAAGCAGCATGGTCGAGCAGTATGTTCATCTTCTCAAATTTTCGGTCTTGGTGGGGCATCATCTACATTCCGCAATCTAATTTCTGTACGAGCCATCTATATCCGAAGGGCTCGTGGTCACGCCACACCGATAATGGCACGATCGACCAACTAGCTTGATAAATCAGCCTGATAAACTACAATCCTCTTTGACATAAAATATCAAATCGATTATAGTGAGCCAATTCGAGGATTCCAGAGCAAAAGTCTTGACGATTTGACATCATGATCGCTCGATGAAGGGGCTTCATATCGGTGAATGTGTTACTGGATGATCGACGAACTTTTGCATGTTTGCTCGACCCATTACCCATAGGTATCCGACTTAACCAGCAGTTTTATCCCGTCTAGACTATCTCTCTGCTATTGTTATTCTGAAACTTGGGTGCTAATTCGAGAACAGCCCGGCGATCCGTCGTCTCCTGATTGCCTAGGATTCTTGAAGATGCCAGGTCACCAAGAACATGTCCACGTGGACGAACAATCACCATGCCATGGTCCAGGATTCAGACATGGCTTTATGCCTCGCATTTGCAACTAGCATTTGGTGGACTCGAATAGCGGTATCCATGGTATCTTTCCTGCCATGTTCTCGCCCGGTGACCGGCCTTGACAGTGTGACATCATTCTTGCCTGGATGTGCGTCAATGGTGTCCACGGCGCACGCCCAACAAAGACTCGTCTGAACTTGACCCGACATTTTGACCGTGAAGAAAAGAGGGGCGTCGTGAGGCTGGAAGGTAAATCATTCAAGTCCGGTTTAACCTCGAGGGGTAGCCTACCCCTCTGAAGCATTCCTCTCACCGAGGCATCCCTGAAAAGGTTTAGTTAACTGGATTGGGATAGAGAACAAGTAGACAGCAACCCTTGCTGTCACACAACCCGGACCTGATACGGATATGCAGTGGCCCAGACCCAAAACTTCCCTGATGTAATTAGCTGTTTACGAAGCATGATCTGGATTTAAGTCATATGGCCACCCTACTGCAGGCCTGATTCCATATAAATGGCCCTTGCCCCGTCACCCTAATCCTCAAACAGCGCCCCCTAACTCACTTATGCTGATCACCCGGGAAGCCTTAATCTTTCCTAGAGATGCTTCGACAGTCCCTCTCAATCGCAAAAAAGGCGACTCAGAAGCTCTACACTCATGATGACTCCAGTGACCTGAGCCTGGACTTGAACATCACAGAACCAGCGGTATTTGTGCCTACGTTTACGAACAAGCCGGCTGTCCTTCGGGGTACCTGCCAGTTAAGATTGAAAAACAATCTGACGGTAAAAAGGTTGACTGTGAATTTTCGTGGGACTAGTCGTGTGACATGGCCGCATGGTGAGGCTAACGTCTTGCTTGTAGGACCATCTGTCTTCGAAACTAATCCATGACGATCTCTCGCAGGGCTTCATGACACCCAGACCGTGACAGATAGCACGTTGACCTTGGTTAGCCCACAGGCCTCGGAACCCGCACTTCCCTGCTATTCAAGCGCCCTGTCCGAGGGAAGAAAGTCCACATGGCATAGGGATAAACGCAAGCTGCGGAATGCAACTCCGTCCACGTTATGTATGGACGGAACACACGGAAAGGCAGCAGGGCCAAAATATCAACGTCTACCCGCTGGAACACATACGTACGAATTTGAGATGGTGTTACACTCTCATCTACCAGAATCAATCGAGATTCGACAATCCCATGTCCAGTACCGGGTTCGCGCGTGCGTCGAGTGCCCGGGTTTTCTGAAGCGAAGCTTTGCAAAAAAGCAGGCTATTGCTACGGTTCACTGTCCAGCTGAAGACGACGTGGAAGACGCTGAACCAGCATACATTGCGCGGGCTTGGAAAGGGCTGCTTCAATGTGGAATCCTCGTTTCGAGGCGAGGCGCTCCCCTCGGTGACCGGCTGCCTGTTACAGTATCCCTTACGGAATCGAGGAAATCCGAGTTCCGGGGCCTGCAGGTTTTTCTCTCGGAGAACGTCCAATATCACCAAAAAGATGGACTTGCATGCTGCCCGGGTCCTTTTAGACGCGTTATATTATATGAAAAAGTGGAGAAAACCGGACCCACTATGTCGCTCCACCGGGCCGAGAATGTTGATGATGAGCGGCCAGAATCGGCTGCGAAGGATGACGGAGCACTTGCGAAGTTGGTCGGGGATCCCGAGATACCAAGTGGACTAGAGGCTGCGGAAGAGGAGACTGTGATGGACCTTACCTTGCAACTTCCAGATTGCCATTTACATTGTGTATCGACTGGAACGCAAGGCATGCACTATGACACCAAGTACAAGAATGTGAGGGTGAGCCACTGGCTGGAGGTAAGGCCACAAAACTTGGGAGAATGACTCGAAACGGAAAACAAAAGGAAAATCAAACTAACGAAGAGCGTGCAGTTTGTTTTTATGGTGTCCCCGAGGGATAATACCCTCGGTTCAAGCAGCGAGCGCATTGTGCAAAAAGTGGCGAAGGTTCCACTCGCACTTCGGTCCTGCTATGCTCAGCATACCAATGCTTCTCTGCCAGCGTATGGTGATGCCTAGGAATTCCGCTGTGGCCGATAGGTTCGGTTCGTCCACACACAAACGACTACGACCAGCAGCAGTACCACACCACCACCCTCCATCATCTCCACCCTCTCCGCCCAGGAATGATTATAAAGATAAGCATTAATAAAAATGGGGTAGGCCGCTGGTCGTACCACTGGACCGAATGCCGCGGGAGGTAGGGAAAGCTTCGGTGGCACCGTCGATTGGCGACCGTTCCCGGTGGCGATCTCCAGCCGTGTTCAAGCCTACCCGCGGCCGTGGCCTGCATCACAGTCTACCGAGATCCACCTTCCGTCTGTGAGTGGATGATTGAAAACTCTTCAGAGAGGTTAAACGCTTCCAGGGACAAGGGAGGCCCATTATGTCCAGAAGACCCACGCTAAACCTGCCCTTGCACGGGCCTTGCCTCCACTAAGTGGGGATCTAGTGAACCCTGTGTGGGCCATCCGGTTTATCAGGCGCCATGAAGTTGCATCACTCGCTGCGCTTTCCGACGATCATCCACTTCGGAATGCATCATCCCCACATCATCGCGCAACCTGCCCCGAAACCATCGTGCTGCTCACCGAAGATCCTGTCGTGGACAGTTGGCGGTTGCCCATTCGCACCACTGGCCTGTGATGTCAGTCGCAGGTCCATACCCATGGGTGAATCCGCTGATGTGGAGGGCTAAGACGCTTCCAATCTTTCCCCGTGGGTGTGCCCCCCTCTGGGACGGCTCAAGTTGCGCTCCACTGTCGGTGGCCGCATGCGGTTTTCCATTCTTTTAAGTCTGCTACATCTGCCAGTTCGTTTCCTCTCCGCTGTCGCCTTTTCTCGATCACTCTTCCTCCTTTTCCCTCTTTCCCCATCTCCTCTTCCTACCCCAGTTCCCCGGATTTCGTGCGCAGTCCCAGCGCTGTTTGGTTTGATCGATTCGGCATCATGGCGCCCCCAAAGTACGCCGGCATGTCTGGCCGGAAACTATCCCTGTTTCTATCAGGCATTGCTACGATGGGGTTTCTGCTCTTCGGTTACGATCGTAAGTTGTCGATCCCAGTATGTAACCATGCAAGGGTAAGCTACTAACCACTATCACTCTAGAGGGTGTAATGTCTGGTATTATCTCGGACGCCGCGTTCAATAATGTCTTCACGGCTACCAGGAACGACAATGTCATGCAGGCCACTGTCACTGCTGTCTACGAAGTTGGTCAGTAAATGTCACATCGGCATAAAATGTATGTCAAGTCACTAATCCTTGCCTTGCAGGCTGCCTCGTCGGTGCTGTCTTCGCTTTGATCTTCGGTGAAACATTGGGTCGCCGTCTTATGGTCATCTCAGGCGCTTGGGTGATGATCATCGGTGTCATCATCCAGGTTACCGCCATGCCAGGCCATATCCCCCTGCTACAGTTCATCTTCGGTCGTGTTATCACTGGTATCGGCAACGGCATGAACACCTCGACTATCCCCACTTATCAAGCCGAGTGTTCTAAGACGACCAATCGTGGTCTCTTGATCTGTATTGAGGGTGGTATTATCGCCATTGGAACAGCGATCGCTTATTGGATTGACTTCGGTGCCCACTACGGCCCGCCTGATCTCGTCTGGCGCTTCCCCATCGCATTCCAGATCTTCTTCGGTATCTTGATCATTGTCGGCATGACGTATCTTCCAGACTCTCCTCGATACTTGATCGCCCACGGCAAGGTTGAGGAAGGCACCCGGGTTCTTGCTGCGCTGGCAGATGCAGAAATTGATGACCCTCATGTTCAGTTGGAGAAGCAGCTGACGCTCGACTCGATCAGAGCGTAAGTTCTTTCGATATAAGATCTGATGGCTAGCAAAACTGACATTGTATTTAGGTCCGGTTCCTCCAATGCTAGTTTCCGTGATCTGCTCACCGGTGGTCCTTCCCAACATTTCCGCCGGATGATTGTAGGATCATCTTCCCAGTTCTTCCAGCAGATTTCAGGATGCAATGCTGTCATCTACTATCTTCCCGTGCTGCTGGAACAGTCTATCGGACAATCTCACGACTTTGCCCTTCTGATTGGCGGTGTGAACATGATCTGTTACGCTATCTTCGCCACCTTCTCTTGGTTCTTCATTGAGAAGATTGGTCGGCGTAAGCTGTTCCTCGGAGGCAGCTATGGTCAATGTGCTGCTATGGTTATTGTTTTCGGATGCTTGATTCCCGGTGATTCCGAGAGCGCTAAGGGAGCTGTCTTTGGCTTCTTCCTTTACATGTGTGTCTTCGGTGCCACCTGGCTTCCCCTGCCTTGGCTCTACCCGGCCGAGATCTCTCCTCTCAAGACCAGATCCAAAGCGAATGCTGTGTCTACTTGCAGCAACTGGCTATTCAACTTCACAGTTGTCATGATCACTCCTGTCATGGTCCAGCACATTGGTTGGGGTACCTACCTCTTCTTCGCCGCTTGGAACGGTCTCTTCATTCCCGTCATTTGGTTCTTCTACCCGGAAACTGCCGGTCGCAGTCTGGAAGAGATCGATTTGATCTTCGCCAAGGGTTATGTTGAGAACATGAGCTACGTCCGGGCATCGAAGGAACTGCCCAAGCTCACCGACGAAGAGATCGAGGCCAAGGCCGCTGAATACGGAATTCTTGGCGACGAGGAGAAGGCTGAGGAGAGAATCGCCGAGAAGGATCCTCCTGCGTCTGCTGAGTTCTCTCAGTTCCAGCCTACCCAGCTGTAAAGGGTGTATACCACGCATTATCACTTCCATTACTTGGTCTTTGAAAATTTTTTTTTCGCATGATGATATGCTTTGGACATGAGTTTTATACCATTTTGTTTTGATTTTTCTACCGAGCCGTTGCAGGACAACCAAGCTTACGCGTGTATTACCTGGCACTTGGTACTTATTGTGGCTCTCTAAAAAGATTCTTGGCTATGGTCCAAGGGGAGGGAAGAGGAAGCACTTGTTCATAATTTACGCGTGGTTGTTGAGCAGCCTCGAGATGTATTATGGTCATCTGCGTGTAGATGTTATGTCCGATAGAGAGATCTATAGATCTCTGTTTGCTCTTGGCAGTTTGATACCTTTTGATTGCTAAATGAACAATCAAACCATGTCTTTGACAATATGCAAAATCCATACAATTATTAGGGTAACAATGTATATCATTGAACAACGATCCCAAATTATTGCAAAGCATCTATTACCAGAAACCTAAATTATCAAGTCTATCAGAAGACTAGCGGCAGGACCCATGGATCAAAAGCAAACATACCTGTAGTAGTCCGGGCACTAATGTTCTAACCTGCAGATCTGAACTCTAAATTCATCCTCCGCTAGCGCCATCCAGTTCAATAACCAATAGCTCACTCAAGCCACATTGGATTGTGGATTCTGAGGACGGACATGCCATTGACTGCATGCATGATCTATTTAGCCCTACGGTTCAATAGTGTGCATGAGGGAACATACCAGAACAACTTCTTGGAGACGAAGTAGACACCAGTTCCGACAATGGCAACCTTGGCGAACCGCCCGAAGCCTCGAGCACCATGACCCCGAGCATAGAGATGGCGAGCGTAGTTCTGATTAAAATAGGGAGTTGGTGAACGCATATTCGATGTGATCCATAAAGGTAACAATAGTCTTTTTAGGCGATAGTAAGCCAGTCTATGTCCCCATGGTGGAATGATTGATTTATACTTGGTGAAGTTCGGGGTTCGAGAATCCTTCGCGGGCTCGGCCTCGGTCTTTAGCGCTGGGAAGACCGAGTTCTCGGCTTTTGACTTCAGTCAGCCTCACCATGAACATCACCACCATCACATAATCACTATCTCAGCTCCTGTGAGCAAGCTAGTTTAGGCAATTGGCATTCTGTGTGTATAATTTTGGTCCTATTAACCCTGTTATCTATGGTATGTCCAGACTAACACCATCCAGCTGCATACGGCATCCATGACCGATACCGAACCTCGCAAACGTCGCCGGCCCGCTAAATCGTGTGAGCAATGCCGCCAACGCAAGGTTCGCTGTGACCGCAATGTACCCTGTGGGCCTTGCATGCGAGCTCGCTCATCTTTGGGTTGCTCTTATCGTCGGGTTAGTCGTTCTCCGTCACCGACTGATCACCAAGCATCTCCCCTTATCTCGCATGAGCCGCAGCGCAATGCACGGGGCTACCCGCTGCCATCTGGGATGCCAGATGGCTCAACGGCGTCCCTGGACGAAACGCCACACATTGGACCTCAATGCGGTAGCAAGGAATGCATCTCGTCGCAGCTAGGATCAACGATTCGTGACCTCCAGCTTCGTTTACAGCGTCTGGAGGAACAATTAACCAGCCCGGACATAGCACGGCCATCGGCCCCAGAACCTGATATCCAGCAGGCACTTCGAGAGCTGTGCGACAAGGTCCAGAGCCTGGAGCAGCGGTTACTATGTACGCAATCAAGCCAAGCACCGAAAGGAGAACTGGCCATTGCTGCAGCACCTCCTCGACTGCACTCCAGTTCCAAGAAGATGAAGCTGTTCGGGCCAACTCATTACATGCACACGATGGATAAGGTGCGAGCCCTGTCTCCATGAAGAATCGGATGAAGACTGACTATCCGTAGCTCCAGCTCGTAGGCTCACTGGAAACTCGGGGTCCCCAGCCACTATGCCCCGAGCTCAAGGCAGAACTAACTGCTCAAATCAAGGAGCTTCATCATCTCCGTGGATCAGCCAAGGCAGCACAGAGTCCCCGGTTGAACAACCCTGTGCCAGACTTGCTCTCCACCATCCCAACCAGATCGGTGTGCGATGAGCTAGTGCAATGCTACCTGCGAACATTCGAAAGCATCTATCGCATCGTGCACATACCATCCTTCAATAAAGAATACCAGCAATTCTGGGATCACCCTCCAGCAACACCCACCCCCTTCCTCATGAAGCTGGCATTGATCCTCGCCATCGGCACAACCTTCCACCCACAACGAGGCAAAGCCGGCAAAGAATACGATACGCGACTCATCCAAACCTGGATCTACGCCGCCCAATGGTGGCTCACAGGCCCAACCGAAAAGAACACCTTCAACCTGGACGGCCTCCAGATCTTCTGCCTGCTCCTCCTCGCCCGCCAACTGGGATCACCAGGCCCATCTCTATACCTCTCCGCCGCCTCCCTCCTACAGACGGCCACAGCCATGGGCCTGCACCGAGACTCAGCCCACTTCCCATCTCTCTCCCCATTCCAATCCGAAATGCGAGCCCGTCTCTGGGCCACCGTCCTCGAACTAACCCTCCAGTCCTCACTCGACTCCGCCTCCCCCATCCCAATCCCATACTTCGACACCAAGCCCCCATCCAACCTCAACGACACCGACATCCACCCAGACCTCAAGCACCTCCCAACCCCTCATTCCAAAACCACTCACACAGACACATCCCTCCAGCTCCTCCTCCACGACTCCTTCACCCTCCGCGCCGAAACCATCCACCTCATCCACAGCCCCGACACAATCCCCTACCAAAAGGCCCTCGACCTCACCACCAAACTCCGCACCACCTGCCATACTATCACCACCACTACCACTACATCTACACAATCATTCCACCACTCCCACCTCCTCACAACCCTAACCCGCTACATCCTCCACCTACACCTCCCCTTCGCCCGCGCCGCCCACACAACCCCCCAATACCACTATTCCCGCAAACTATGTCTCGAATCCGCCTTCACAATCGCCTCGTTCGCCCTAACCACCACCACCTCCTCCTCTTCCACTCCCCTAGACGACTTCCCCCTCCTAACCCTCACAGCCCGCGGTCCCCTCCGCGGCCCCCTAAACCTCGATATAATCTGCACATTGGCGCTCGAACTCATCACCCAGATAGAGGAGGCCCCGAACATCACAAATACCCCCAATAACAGTAGTAATAGTCCCTTAAGAGTGCTAGCATCAACAATAAGAGCCCCCATCCTACACACCCTCGAGAACCTCGCCCTGCAGAGCGCACACGTCCTGAAAATGCATGGGAAGTCGCCGGCGCTGAAACGGTATATTATCTCTCAGGCGCTGGTGGCGCAGATTAGAGCTTTGGAAGGTGGTTCTGGTGCTGGGGATGTGCAGGGGGTGGTATATGAGGCTGTTAGGAGGTGTTTGGGGGATGGGGTGGGGATGTTGAGGGGGATGGAAAAGGAGGATAAGAATGCGGAGGGGTTGGGGGTGGTTGTCACGCCGGATAGTGGTGGTGCTGGTGCTGGTGCTGGGGGGTTGGATGAGATGGGAGAGGGTTTGGGGATTGGGATGGGATTGGTAAGTATTTTTTGAGTTTGGGTTGTTGTTTCTGGATTGAGGCTAATTGTTGGTTTCATGTAGGATGATCTTGAAGGGTGGGATTTGGCGAGTTTTTTGTATGCGCCTGGATTGATGGATTTGGGGGGTTGGTAGTAGGTAGATGATAAGGATGATAACATGATCATGGATGAAGGTTGGAATAATCCTGATGGTAAACTTGTGATAAGATTAATGAGTGTATGGAAGGAATAATTGTCTCTATTATTAAGGCATGTGATAGTGATATTCTCGCTTATGCATGGTCATGTTCATGCTAACAATGCACTCGTGGTAATGTAGTATACCTCAGATCTGTAGAGGGCTAGAACCACCCTACATACTGGTCCAACGACTCATTCTGCACACCGGCAGAACCATGGCGCACCCCGAGAAGGCGGACATTTCCGATCTTGCCCCCAAAGTCATCTTCCAGTTTGCTCTCCCACGTCTCAAAGAGCTGAGTCAAACGCTGGATGACATCCGCCTTGTCCTCGATGAGCACGGCCAGGGCATCGTACCCACCGGCGCCGGGGACGACTCCGCCGACAACACCCTCGATGCTGGTGATGGCATCAAGCAGCTCGGTTTGCACCTTGGGCTCGATGGGAACGCCGGCCTTCTGGGTCATGGTGCGGATGAGGTCCCGAGAGCGTTCGATAAGACGACGAGTATCGTCAAAGCCGTTCGGGGTTTCCACATCTGTGTTCTGCGATAGCTGCTTCAGCTCCAAGCACAGTCGCTCGTTGTTGGACTGAAGTGCCTGCCATAGCATCAGGGACTCTTCCGGGTTCTGCTTGCGCCATTCCAAGACCTTCCGGACCATAGACGGGGTCTGAGAGCCGCACTCCACATCACACAGAACCATCTGCATTCCCCGGGGAAGCTCCATGCCGAAATCCAGGCACTCCGTATCCCAAGAATGCTTGGGGTCAGCGTCTTCGACGATGGCAAACAAGCGCTCCTCGAAACCTGGTGACCCAACATCCCCCACTGACTCCAAGATGGACGGCGAGAACCGCCGGTACAGGCAGGAACCGTAAATCGCTGCCGCCACGTCAAACCCAGATCCCACTTTGCCTTGTGCTGCACAGTGAGCGGCCTGCGCCAGGTTGTGCAGCTTCTCGCGAGCAGCCCCGAGGTCCTCGGGCTGCAGGGTGCGGTGAATGACCAGAGCGGATACAAAAGCGGTGACCAGGGCTGCAGAGGAACCCAATCCGGTTTTGTGTGCTTCATGAAGGGGAACGCCAAAGTTCACGAATCGTCCCGGAGACTGGAGGCTCGAGATCTTGGAGAAGGCGGTTTCCGAGTAGTAGTCGTTATCGGCAAGGATCGTGATGGAAAGGGAACCGAAGTCTTTCGAGGCGGCCACGTAGCTGATGTACGTCAAGGCGTAGTTGAGAGAGGTTTCGACAAACGGGTTTGCTCGTCTGCTGCAAACTTAGCCCTAGTAGCTCCAAATGCGAGTCTAGGCACCTCACCCGTCGTTCTTCTGTACGACCTTGACCCCACCTCCGTTATCGCAACGCTGGATGCCATACTCCCACACCGCGTCGACAAACTGCGGGGAACGAACGACGATGACGTCCTCACTAGCTTGTTCATCTGCAGCCTCATCTTCAGTTATCTCCGCACCATCCCTGTTTTGTGTTCGAGTCCGGACATACCACTGCGGTGAGATCTTCTCAGTTGCTGAACAACGACATGGATACGAGCGTCGAGGGCGAAGACTGTGCCGGTGTAATCGCGGTCCAGGACTAGGTAGCCGCCGGTGAGAAGGACCTTTCCAGGGGCGGACACCGCCGTTACTGTAGGAGCTTTGTAAGACATGAGGGGGAGCGAGGAGAGTGTGCGGTTCGGGTATCACGAAGGAGTGGGCGCTCTATTCCGTCTGGCACAGGTGAGGAACTAAAGGGGCGAGACGGTTAGTATATAACCCCAACCAAACTGCAAGCGATCAAGTTGAAATGTGATCTTCAAGGAGATAATGTACGCACTGTCAGACCAGTAAGCGTGGTCGGTGAATAATCCAATGGGTTGGCAAATGCGAAGGGCTGCAAAAGCAAATCGGGGCTTGGAACAGTTTGCGAACTCCGTCAATATGGAGGAGCCCCGCTTAGAGGGGAAAGTCTACAAGTCTTGCGGGGAGAGACAACCTGCAAGGAGAAAAAGGATAAGGAAGAGGCCCAGAGCGGATGCATGATGACTGACTGACTGACCTGCGTCTGGTAGCCGAAGATCGGAGATATGTGTAGAGCTGCAGCGGCATCCAGCGTCTGTCAGTTGTGGACTGTTGAGTTGAACTGAATTGGTTTGGTTGACATGTTGATGTGCCACTTTCCACTCATTTCCTTCCAAACAGGCAAACTGTGGCTGGAGCTCTCCAGGTGTGGCTTGACGGGTGGCTGTCATCCAAGCCTGGTCCCGTGATCTGCATCTGATTACTGTTGATAGATTACCCGCCAACTTACTCCGGAGATTTGACTCGAAAATTAGCCCATGGCTATCTCTTCCGTACTTTGTACTCCGGACTGTCGTCATGGAAGATAGCCCTATGCGCTAGAGCAGCAATTGCATCTACGTCAGCGGAAGAGTGACATCCGGTGGTGGCAGTGTAGAGTTAATGCATGGGTGTACTCCGAAGATAACAATCTAACTTCTCTGTACTGTCATCTGATGCCGGAGTGTTTGACAGGCAGCAGCTTCAAAGGATGCAGTTTATCGCGTCACATCTTGCTTTATTAAGTGATGCTGCAGGCTCATCGCGGAGCAAGAGCCATGCTGGGAGCAGGACCGAGAAGGTCAGTGGTAACAGCTCATAATCTGCTCGGTCACGCTCCTCCATCTATCGTCCTCTCTAACACCCGGATTTAAGGTACCCCCTAAATTGACTTCCGTCAACGGACTGTGTACCAGGGGTCCGGGTCCAGAGACCAGGTCAACAGTTCGTATCTGATCAAAGGGACCAATTAGCAGTCTCTTTAATTGAGGCCACAGTGTCTTCCACACGGAGATTAGCCTGGGACCACGCCGTAAATACGTCTGGCGATCTGAGACCACAGGGCAAGGGTCGTCATCCCTTTGGGGGAGAGCCAAACCCAAGACGGAGAGTCGGCCATCCGGGTGTCCGGCGGGCTGTCGGGGTCTGGCAGTCAAACTCCGGGCCCGAAGAAAAAGAGCCGGAACGGAGGGTGACTCACTGAGAGAGGAGCGGGCCGGCCAGACTGGTCCGGACAGTGACAGACAGTGGCAGAAACCCATTCTAATGGCAGAGAATGGCAAATGGCAGATGCCAGGGGAGGATCCAGAAAATGGCGCTCCTGTTCTTCCCTACGGCCCCAGTGTGTCGCGTGCCCCGATTGGGTCTGGCTTACGATCCGGGGCTTGCCGTGAGACCACCTGATCAGCTCCTTTTGGGAATTCCCGCTCATCCTGCGCCTCAGGCAACAACGACGCTTCTCGAAGGCTGACGTTGCTTCTGTTTCTGCCTCTGTTTTCTTGTTTCGTGTGCCTGTGGATGCCGGAGAGAATTTTTCGTAGGATTTTTCTTTACTTTTTCTTACTCATTTTCTTGTTCGTCCATGGCTCATGGTCGTACTCCTTTTTTGACTTTGTAACTACTTAAGACACTGTTCCTTAATTTTCCGTAGGGGCGTTTTTCTTGTTCTTTACCCCCTCTTGACGGATAAACGGACGAAGTCTACAAATTTATAGCCCAGAGTCCCTTCTTCTCGGTTCGACGGTAATACTCAATGTCTTCCCCACATATACTAATTCCCATCACTAATACATTCAAGACCGACAATACAATTAGTATTCCCCTTTCAGCTTGTTGTGAGGGTTCCTCATTCCGCGCCCCAGTGAAAAACTCAATTCTCTGTCTTCCTATTGGTCCACAAAAGTACCTAGTCTCGAAACAGGAAAAGTCGGGATAGGATCGGCGCTAACCCGCTTTAGGCACGCCCGGCGATACAGATCAGCTTTCCGGCGGCTTTGAAATACCCAGCATTTCCCTCCACACGCTCTGCAGCTACTGAATTCTCATCCTCTTGTCACTGAAAGGCTTTTGCCAAATTTCATTTTCCTCCCTTCTATCCCCCTCCCTCCTTTATCCCGCGCGTTCCTTTGGCGACCTGACGTCGTCAAATGAACCTGCATCTTCATTATTATTTTGATTGCAAGGTACGCTTTCCCGTGGCGTCTTCGGACAAAAGGCACACAAAATCCGAACTATCAGAAAATACCACGTGTAGACACAGTCATTGACATTTTCACCAGCATTGCCTCTTCCCTCTGAAGAGGTCACCCGCTAGATAAATGGTCTTCAAGCCGTTTACCCACCTCGCGCGTCAGAGTTTCACCAAAGCCTTTACTCATGGCTATGCTCAATCCGTAGTCGCGGCGTCGCAGTCGTCATACGCGTCGACCACCACATTCAACCAGATTGCCAGTCAACCCGCCGCTAAGCTATCTCGGACGACGCAACTACAAAATGTTTTTCAGCCATCTAGCTCGTCCGGTGCGGGCGCCAAGGCCAGCCAGGGCACTTCGGGCTCCGGCGATTTGGGCTTGGCTGCCTACTATGCTGCCTGGCAGCATGCCCAGCAGACAGGCGACGACAGTGACTGGAAGCAGATGCAACTGAAAAGGAAGGTTGGCTGGAAGCCGTCCTTGAACGAGGATGGCGTCAAATCGAAGGAGTCCGACAACTTGCCCTCGACCGACAACAACTTCCAGAATTCGCCTCATATCACCAAGGCGTCCGCCAACGCAGATGTCAGTGCCAAGGTTGAAGAAGCTGTAGCTCGGGAGATTCAAATACAGGAGGAGCAGGCTCAGGTCGATGAGGCTTCCGAAGCCAAGGAGAACACGGATACGGAAGCTTTCCCTGACTTGCCGCCGGATGTTGCTGCTGTCGCCGATGCCTCCTCCGAGCATTCCCGCCTTGCTTCAGAACACATCACCGATTTGGCATCAGGCAAGAAATACGCTGAAATCCCCGGAGCATTTGCAACGCTTCTGCGGGACGGTCTTACGCCTACGGTCGGTGCCTACAATGCTCTTCTCGAATCGGCCATTCAACTTCATGGCGATACTGCTCAGGCTATCCAGAAGGCCCTGGATGTCTACTCGGACATGCTTCGTCGCAGGGTAGTTCCCGACGAGCAGACCTACCAAACTTTGGTGCAGCTTTTCGTGGTCCGTGCCAACGATGCCATCAAGTCCAAGGGCATGCTGGAGCAGGAGCGTGTTCGCTACGGTGGTATGGAGGAGCCGGGCAAGTTCATGTTGCACTCCAGTGAGCTGGAGCGCGCCATTCTCGCCGAGGATCACTCTTTGGGAATTGCCATGAAGTTGTTTAACACTGCCGCCACGCGTCATGCCGATCTCGTCTTCCCTCTCGACACCTACCGCCATCTGATCAACGCTTGTGCAAAGGAGGGCCAGGTCGAAGACATGATCCGAGTGTATGGGCATATGGAGTCCCACAATGTGACCCCGCACGCTTCGATTTTCCCGTCCATGATTGATGCCTTTGCCTCCACGAAAGATCTGCAGAGTGCTGTGGAATGTTACAACGAATACAAGGGATTGGCGGTTTCGGACGATAACGGAACCTTCTGCATTGTGCAGCGGTTGGATGGTCAGGTGTACGCTGCTCTGGTCCGGGCGTACCTGGTCTGCGGGAAGGAACAGCAAGCTTTGCGATTCCTGGAGCGGATCCAGGCCTCCTTTGAGGAGGTGACTGAGAATCGTGAGGCGCGTCAGCAAGCCTTGGAATCGGCCGTGGTGCAGGATGGGCTGGTGCAGCATGCGCTCACGTCGGGCGAGTACGGGCGGGCGTTGGATCAGGCCAAGACCCGGTTGCGCGATGGAGCCCTCGATCATGCCATGTCCCAGATCTGCATTGCCGCGGCGGATGCGGGTAATCTGCAGACAGCTTCCGAAGCATACGATGCTCTCCCCACCGACATGACCATTCGTCAGAGGCCCGCCGTCTCGATGCTCGCCTTGCATGTACGTCAGGGCAATGTGTCAGCTGCCCGGGCTGTGTGGCTCACCCTGAACACCACCGGTCAGGCAACACCGGACATGGTCCAGCCGACTGCCATGTATGCGGTGGCACTGTTGAAGAGTGGTCAGATCGAGGAAGCCTTGGTTCAAGCTCGCAATATGTTTGCTCGTGTCCGCAACGCTTCCGCCGTCGCTGACAACTCTATTCTGAACCCCATCCGTGAACAGATCAACGAAAGCCTTCATCTCATCGGTCGCGTTCTTGTGCAGACAGCGGCTGTCCTCTCTCCTCAAGCTGCCATGTCTCTCCTGTGGTCGATGATCGAGAACGGAGGCCTGATCTCCCCTGTCGCTGAACATGTCGTCGCCAGCCTTGGTCCCATCGGTATCTCTCAACTGAACGCCCGCGATCTCATGCTTGCCCTCCAGGTTCAGGCTGGCATGCTGCTCAACCACAGCGCTATGTTCGACGTGGCTCACCCCATTCGTTTCTCTCACATGCTCGACATTGCTCTGGCTACCGGGTTGCCCATGGATGCTGCCACTACTCGTGTCGTTGACCAGGCCGTCGGCAAGCTGTTCAACAGCCGGCCGGATATGGTCAAGAGATGGCACGACCACTTGGCTTTGACCTCCAGCCCGTCCTCCTTCATGAGCGGCCGCCACTCTCCCAGCTCGGATGTGTCGACGATGACCCCCATGTCCTCCACCGATGATTCGTTTGACCCTTACGCCTACGCCACCGACTTCCGCGGATCGTCGATGATCTCCGACGAGCTGGAGAGCACCAGTGGCAAGCTGGAGGCTCACCTGAACGACGCTCTTTCTCGGGTCCGCAACATGCGCCGCAACGGCCGTCACCCTCGCTACATCACGTACGCCAAGATGATCACGGCCGCTACCAAGTGCAACCGGGTCGATCTGGCCTACGAGATCCTGAGCATGGCCAGACGCGATGTGCCTCTTCTGCCTCAGTACAGCGCCGTCAAGTACGGCTGGGTTTCGATCCTGGATGCCATGGTGGCGTCGTGCCTGACTCTGGGCGACCGCAGCCAAGCCTCCAAGTTCCACCAGGAGCTTCTCGAACTTGGCTCAGCTCCTTCTGCTAACACCTTCGGTCTCTACATCACCACCCTCAAGGAATCCACCAAGACGTTCGACGAAGCCACCGAGGCCTTGAAGATCTTCCACCGCGCCGTGGCCGAGGGAGTGGAGCCTACGTCGTTCCTGTACAACGCGCTCATCGGTAAGCTGGGCAAGGCCCGCCGGATTGATGACTGCCTGCTGTACTTTGCCGAGATGCGCGCCAACGGAGTCCGTCCGACGAGTGTCACCTATGGAACGATCGTCAACGCCCTCTGCCGGGTCAGCGACGAGCGTTTTGCCGAGGAGATGTTCGAGGAGATGGAGTCCATGCCCAACTACAAGCCGCGCCCGGCCCCGTACAACTCGATGATCCAGTACTTCCTCAACACCAAGCGGGACCGTAGCAAGGTTCTGGCCTACTACGAGCGCATGCTGACCCGGAACATCCAACCCACTATGCACACCTACAAGCTGCTCATCGACGCTCACGCCTCTCTGGAGCCCGTGGACATGCCAGCGGCTGAGAAGGTCCTCGAGACCATCAAGGCTGCTGGCCAGCGACCTGATGCCGTCCACTACGCGTCCCTGATCCACGCCAAGGGATGTGTGATGCACGACATGGAAGCTGCTCACGCTGTGTTCAAGTCTGTTGCGGAGGAGCGCAAGGTGCGGATGCAGCCCTGTCTGTACCAAGCTCTTCTGGAGGCTATGGTGGCCAACCACCAGGTCGCACAGACCGAGGAGATCGTCCGGGACATGGCCCGCCGTGGAGTGGAGATGACTGCCTACATTGCCAACACTCTCATCCACGGATGGGCTACGGAGGGCAGCGTGGCTCAGGCTAAGACGGTGTATGACAGCATCGGCATCGAGAAGCGGGAGCCTAGCACCTACGAAGCGATGACCCGGGCCTTCCTGGCCAACAACGACCGGGAGGGAGCCTCGCGCACCGTGCAGGAGATGCTCTCTCGCGGGTATCCCCCGGCTGTGGCCAGCAAGATCGCCGATCTGGTGGGCACGGGAGCTGCTGTCGCTGCTCTGTAGAGTGTTCTCTTACAGTGTTTTTGCTTTACATCCAACAAAAGTTGCCATCCTTTTTGATTTTCGCGGATTACAAAACCTTATTGACTCAATCACTATCCGGTTTTAATTCACCAGGGCTGGATCCCTGCTTTCGGCTTTTCCAGCCCGATGGTCTCGGCAGAGGCATTTGGGAGGGCAACTTGTGCTGGCTGATTGTTAATGTTGATTTGTTTGAGACTTGCATGCATTTAGCGAACTGGCACAGGCGTTGTGGCAGCATTTGGGACTGGCTTGTATATACCATGATTTGATGTGTTTCGATAGATCCTCTCAGCTCTTTAGTGTC